TTGGTCATTAGATTCTGAGAATTACATGTATTTCCCATATTTTTTTTATAGGATTGAGATCAGTAGACAATGTAGTTAATGTATTCAATTGACCTCACCGCCATGTCTTTGTTCAATGATATCATCTCTATTATTCTCCAATGAGTCAATCATCTTGTTTGATCACACCACATCTCATTGATGACACCGACTCTTGCACGGGTAATTTGCTTCTTTCTGTGTCAACCCCTCTATTTATAAAGCTATGAATTGCTCACCCTATTCAGTAAACAATCATGAACTCATTACATCTTCTAGGTGGATGTAATATGTACTTTTCTTTGATACTAATAAAACCTCCACAACAGTCCAACACAGCTACATATTGTCATAATCAATCGTTTAGCCTTGTAATATAGTAATTGCTTAGCATTTCTAATTAACCACACATTTAATCTATATATAATTACATAACCTGTTCGATCATATAAACATAGTTTACATTTATTCGTAGTGTGAAATTAACCACAGCAAGAATAGGTCTGATTTGTCTCTATATATCAACATCATCATCTCTCACTGAAGATAATATAACCAAATTAACATGTGACATTAACAAATTGGCAAAGCAGAGCACATATGCATGTGACATTTGGTTTCTAAATAGTTGGGACACATTCATCTTTTTGATCTTGGTATTGTGTGAGCTACATCTACCGAGGATGAATGGCAGTGACATACGACTGGTTTACTTGCATTGCACCCTGCTATAATGAAGTAACGAAACAAAAAACTACAAAATGTACACCCTGTTGTCTACTGACATGAGAATATACTAACTACAGGTTTTCTAATTCTTAGAGACGGCCTAGTACGAATATGTTTTGTTTTTTGAACAAACATCTCCTTACTTTAGCGTATAACTGACATGACAGCAAAAAGTGTTGCTTATTTTCAATTTCACAAACTGAAAATATATTATTGGTACATTTTTGTACCTTCCAATTTCAATCCATAAGTGACGGGCACTCAGATTGGTAATTCCATAGCGATATAGTGTTTTTTTATTATTATTATTATTTGTAAGTATTTTTCTAGTGAAAAATCTGTTTTTAATTTAATGTCGTTAGTCGTGTGTGTTTCAAATACAGTGATCTTTTCACACAGCAACATTATGTTTTTATGATACTGGTATGCGATCATGATCGACAAAGTTCAATGAATGATTAACATATAGGTGGGTTAAATCTTATTTTTCTATGTTCAGTCATAAATTACCTTACCAAATTCTAATCTAATGTTTGTATATGTATATGGCCAAACTGTCTGGGGTCATCCCGACTTTAGAAATAAAGCACCCCTTATTTCAAGTTCTATTATAAGTAGGCTGTCTGACAACAGCCAAAAACTCATTGATCAATTAAGTTGTGACGACGTCATAATATCGAATACCTCGCCCTCAACTGGAGCGGATAGGTATTTAATTCTCATTTACTTTTCATTCAGAATTGTTGGTGTTCCACATGGCCGTGGCAGCCATGTTAGTTGTTTGTTATTATTTTGATTTTGAGACTGTTGTACTACCATGCGTGTCAAGAGTTCTAACACCGAGGGTAAGATAGAGCGACACATTTACTAAGTTATATACTGACAAATATTGCAAATATCACAGGCGTTGTCACATAGAAATGTTACCGAGAGGGCATTGGTGTACCATTCTAGTCACCAAAATGGTGAATCAGGAGCGTCCTTTGGGCCTCGGCTGAACTCGCTGGTACAATAATGGGAACAGAATGTGGGACAATTATTACAAGCTGAGTTTGTTCCGGGTTTATACATGGTTCCCTGTCTCCTTATTCCATGTGGCACCGTGCCTTCTGGCATTCCAAGCAAACAGGCTAACTATTACAAACAATGTAAAACGTAGGACGAGGAGCCCACGATCTGCTGGCTGTCAGTTTGATCCCCAGCAAGGACACAAGCACAACTAATACAGCATTCTAACATTGTTCGTTGTTATTTCTGAAATAACAACATTCCTCCTTCCATTTTTTGTGGATGGGTGGGGGCAGCATAATAATTTTCCCATACTGTATATATGATTCCGAAACTTTCATTATCCAAGTTCAATAATGCATAACAGTATATGGTGACACTGTAGACACTAACGTTTAATACGTGTATGCTGTATCGAACTATAATCACTGTCATGACAAGGGTAAGGCCGCGCGAATCATACTGTTATTAGGGTGATTCACACTTTCGAGTAGGTAAATACGTACATACACTATCCATTACAGAGCAGTAATTATATGAATGAAATAAATGGTTACTCGCACACGCTTACAATCAATGATACAAAACACAGGCACGATTCCTTTCACGTGTTAAACGTTTTAATAATCTACCTTAAATTGCAAATAGCAAATTGGCTATAATGTATTATAAACAAAGATAAACGAGATAAATAAATTATTACG